GCTCTAAACACAGACTGGAGAATTAATGAATTAGCAAAGCCCGTTTGGACTAGAATATGATGCATAGAACTGTCAAATACTTCACACACACAGGCCCTTAGCCTGATCATTCTAGTCCATTTCAACTGCGACCATCTATAATAATAAAAGTGTAATATGCTAATTAGACCGGACTTCCTTCCGGACATCCTTTCTGACAACCATCCTGATGAAGCTGGATCTGAAAGGGAAGCCTGGGTCTCAGATGCCTGCTGGTGGCCAGAGGGAAGCCCAGGTCCCGGGTGCCTGACAGTGGCCGGAGGGAAGCCCGGGTCCTGGATGCTAGAGGGAAGCCGGTGGCAGCAGCGGGGGGAAAGGAAGGCCTACTCTTGCATGAATTTTGTGCATTCGGCCTCTAGTTTTAAGTATGAATGAATCATATCTTTGTATCATATATTTTCTTGAATTATCCATATCTGTGATCTAAATCTAACCTGAAGAATGTTATAGTATTTTTCTTATGCACAGAGTGTCAATGCCAAAGGTAAGAGTCAACATAAGCTCCTGGAGTACAGAATGCACAAGGGGCAATCATTAAATCAATTATGATTTTTGTCACCTTTTGCTTCATGGTGAAACCTTTGGCTCCTATGTCCTGGGAAATCTTTGTTACAGATTAATCCACTTTGCATTTTACATAGCCCCTGGGCCTTTCTCTGAGGCATCTTATATTTAAGAAAAGAAAACTTCTACCTTCCTATAAGCAAACAATGACTTAAGCAGTTAGTGCTTTTTTTAATATTATTTTTTAAATGGTGTTTGAAGGCCCATTGTAGAAATTAGTAAATATGTAAGCACAAAAAAAAAATCAACCAGAATACTGTCTTTCATGCTACCACAGTTTTGTTAGAAACATACTTTTTTGTACATGCTTAACTATATATATAAAAGCCTAAGCAACCAGTCAACTGGCTGGCTAGTAGCTATGACATGCAATGACCACCAGGGGGCAGATGCTCAACACAGGAGCTGCCGAGCGACAGCAACTTTGCGGAGTGTTTTCTTGTGCACTCTGGAACCTCTCGGGGGATGTTAGACTGCCAGTTTTGGCCCGATCCTCTGCAGGCCAGGCCAAGGGACTCCACCTGCTAAAGGGACCCCACTCACTCTGCAGACACCTTCAAGCCTTGGCACCACCCCACTTGGGAGATTGGCTCCAGGGTGTGCTGGTCCCATTTCTCTCAGTCCTGCCCTGCAGGCCACCTTCTAATTAATTTCCATTCAATGTGCACAAATCCGTGCACTGGGCCTCTAGTATTTTATATTTGCATATGTCACCTATTTTACAAAACTGGCTGGGTTTAACCTACATCATATCTGTACCTGTGCACACATCTACTTTTGTATTTCTTTCTTCCCTTCGTATTATATATTTTCTCTAATCACTACAAGTTTTTATTTATTTATTTATTTTTATATATTTTATTGATTTTTCACAGAGAGGAAGAGAGAGGGATAGAGTTAGAAACATCGATGAGAGAGAATCATCGATCAGCTGCCTCTTGCACAGCCCCCACTGGGGACGTGCCCGCAACCAAGGTACATGCCCTTGCCCGGAATCAAACCCAGGACCTTTCAGTCTGCAGGCCAACGATCTATCCACTGAGCCAAACCGGTCCCGGCACTACAAGTTTTTTTTTAAAAAAAAACCTGATTTGACAAGGAGTAGAGATACCAGGGGATGGATGATATCTGACCATTTCTGGAACTGTAAATCTAGATCTCTCTAGAAGCTTCTAGATGAGATAAATCACTTTTCAGCTTCCAAAGGTAACCCTCTGGTCTGGTTTTTGGCAAAGATGGGGCTCTCCCAGGGAGACCTGGGAACATATCCATTTCTCAGGTTCCTGCAATCTACTGGTGAATGGGGCCTTGGGTCTTTCTCTCACTCCAGAAATCCAGACTTTAATTCCTTTAGACCCCTATCCTTTGTTGGAATGGCAGTCTGCTTTCCCCAAGTGCAAACCCCTGGAGGAAATCCTCAGGGTGAAGCACTTGTTTCCTGCAGAGACCCTAGGCTGGCTCAAATGCCAATCCTTCCCAGCAGGTGGCGCCATCTTGACTCTCTTCCCTCCCTACCAAGAGGCCCCTGGATTAGATGGCGCCCTCCTATCCTTCATCTTCACTTCCTCATATGCCCTGCCTGCACTCTCCTCCCAGGTCTAGGCCTTTCAGCTTCTAGTCCCTTTCATTGGTCTTTAAAGGCAAAAAAAGTTTTTATTTTCGGCTGTCTTTAATTAAATTAACTGGACCATACATATTCAAATGGCTTTTTTTAAAAAGCATTTGTCTTTTTACATCCTCTTTAAGCTTGATACCTAAGTTTGGGACATTTCAAAATATTTCTATATTTCAGAGAGCCCTGTTAAAAAGCTTAAAAAAAAACGATCACTTGGTTAAAACGGTAACTTCAAAACTTCCTTATTAACAATAGTATTCCAATGTATTTAACTTACAGTAGTTTCAATGAAACTCATTAAAAAAACCTTCTTTTGCCCGACTGGTGAGGCTCAGTGGTTGAATGTCAACCTATGAGCCAGGAGGTCTTAGTATGATTCCCAGTCAGGGCACATGCCCAGGTTGCAGGCTTGATTCCCACTGGGCAGCTGATCAAATAATTCTTTCCCATAACTGATGCTTCTATCTCTCTCTCACTCTCATTTCCTCTCTGAAATCAATAACAATATTTTTAAAAAAGAATTTTTTTCTTAAAGAATATAATACTTTAATAAAAAATGAGACAAATGAACAATATAAATTTGCATTTAGACTGACAAAAATCATAAAATTATATTAATCATGCCAGTTAACTCAAGAAAAAGCTTATAGATGTGATAAAATGGTGCAAAGAACAGCTTTCCAAGCCTATAGAATTGCTCACCCCAACGTTTCCGGATGCAGCTAACAGCTTGAGAGTAGGGCTCTATTTCGGGGTAATGTCCAGGAACATTCTCTGATTCCTCTGGACCCAGTCAACCCCTAATCTCACCTGTCACTTGAAAGACTTCAAGCCAGGTGAGAGCACCTTAGCAACAGTGAAGAAAGGTTCAAGGCAAAGTTTTACTAAATGAGATACCAGTGACAGGTGCCAGGGACATCAGAAGGAAGCACTTTAGAATCCGAGCAATAGACTGGAGAGAAAGCCTTGTTGTAATCAGAATGACTTCAGTCTCAGTTGGAAGTGTTTTTAGTCAAGGCAAAAATGGTATTAAGGCGACTTCCCAAATATGCCTTCAGAAGTTGCCGGGGCAATTCCAAAAGTTCTGAGCCCTAAGGTGGTGCCAGAGCCCTAGGGGTTGTGATCTCTGGGCAGATTGAAAAGAACCCTATTCCTGCCCGCCTTTCAATCATTATGGTGCCTGCTCCCTTTCCAGAATAAAACAGAGCAGGGCCTGGGCCCCATGGGATTACAGTGCTGAGAACCATCATACCTTTGTAAGGCCAGGTTTAGTTTACTTGAGATTGAAAATGTTCAGAACCCACAATGGCCTGGCTCTCTTAAGTACCAGGTAGGAAAACTGAGGTCTCTGACATCACGTAGCATGTTCAACAAATACCTGCTGGCTGGCCATTCTATTTCCTTGGCAGAATAGCTGGAAGGGGATTGAATTAAGAGCCAGGGCTCAATCCTCTTAAAAGGCTCCTCTGATGCAGGGAGAGGACTCGGAGCACTGAGCCACAACAGGAGAAAATGCAGGGCTGGGGGTTTAGTGCTCAGAGCAGAAGGTCATCATTAGAGAAGCAGCGCACATGCCTCTCCTAAACTACAGGTGTGTTTACGGTGGAACATACAGATCTGCTTGTAGAAGTATCTGGAGCGGCCCTCGGGGCCCATGCACAGCTAGAGACCTGGGATCTACAAAAATGCTAATGCTGATGCATTCAAGTCAAACTTAGGAATTCTATTTAAGAATGCATTCCCACCCATTCTTACTCTTAATAAAATAGTTCTTTTAACTCTTGCTCAAGGTGAAATGGTTTCTAAAATACTTTTTAAAATGGTGTGGCGTGATCTAAACATACTTGGCATGTTTCTTTTGAACTATTAACCTGTCTGTTCCATTTTCTCTGACATCTGAGCCCGGAAACAGTCAGTCCTTGGGTACAAACCTTAGCAGCTGGGAGATGACCACAGAGTCAAAAGAAAGTTGGATAAGTGACCACGGTGTCCAGGGGAAGCTGGACACATGACCACAGTGCCAAGAGGAGAGGGGGAAGCCTGGTGGCAGGGTGGCTGGTTGGCAGCAGGATGGGCACTTCTTCACATACTCCCTGGGGTGCTGGTAGGTGAGGGGTTCAGCCTCTTAGAGACTCCTGGGGAGGGGAACAGAGCCTCTTTTGATTCCTCTGTGATTGCTGGCCTTGACCTCACTTCAGGGCAACCTACACTCAGGGAAAGGCCGCTCCATTTTGCAGCTAGGCAGATTTCTGAATTCATGGGATTGACCCCCGAAGCAAAGCTTCTGATGTCATTCTGCTGGAAAGACTGAGTCTCATGCTGCCATTCCATTTCCACAGTAAAATCACATGCCCTCATGTTTCAAAGCGCTATATGAAATGCATGCTGAATTTTCATGCATCTCTCTCCCTCAGCTTCTTTTCTTTAGACCACACCTATTCTGTGCACCAGAACCACCTGAGAGGCACCTCACCTGGATCCCCCAGGGACCTCTATAAACGTGGGAATCCACACATGGAAGAAGCAGCGCCTGAGGCTGTCTCTATGAGCTGGCACCCTCCAGTCTGCCTGTTCTCCTTTTGAAATTCCCTTTCTTGGCAGGACATGGGGGATCCACTTAATGTGCAACTGTCTCAGCTGTGAAATTCCCACCAGAAAATTGTGCCAATCCATTAGTGATGTTACCGCATGTTGAAAGCCCTGTACCTATAGACGCATACAAAATATGAATGTTGCAACTGGGGAAGGTGATAAGTGCATGCAGCTGCGAGTCGCACATCACCTGGTCCTGGGACTTCTTTTTCTTCTTCTTCTTTCCCCAGCAACCGGAGCTCTCTGCGTCTTTGCCACTGGCCTCCCCACAGAGCAGCCCGTCCAGCTCATCCGTGCCCATGTGCTGTCCCTGAGACGTTTCCGCGGCCAGCCGGTACGAGAGGTTCCTTAAAATGCACACACAGTTTTCAACGGTCTGCAGAAGCCAGGAAAAAGGTAAAAGAGGAATGAATAAAAACTAGCTAGCACTCCGTCCAAAAAAGCAATCAGTCTCCACACACACATTTCTCTTCAGATGCATTTAGCTGTGGGCTCTTAAAGGTTCCCTTAATAGCCACACTGGAAAGAATTTGAGAAGCTTAGAGAGGTCTTAAGACTTCTTCTCCCCACAAAGAAACTAGTTATCAAGAATAGTTACTTCTTTAGCTAGCTGTCATGGATGATGGAAATTTGCTTGTGAGTGGAAAAGAACCTACAATCACAAAGGACCCAGATGTTGTCTACTCAACAGACATCTGAGGACCGAGGCTCAGAATCACCAATGGATGGATGATCGGATTTCCATCAGATCTGGGAGGGTGACACTAATATTTACCAGGGCACTTTCTGGGAGAATGGGCCAGGAGATGCAAACCAGAGTTGTCCTAGGCACACCAGGTGCTGTGGTCACCTGGGGGCATACATGTTATCAAGCTACTGATTTTTTCTGAGCTGGTCGGTGCTCCTATTTTCTTAGCAAAGGGGTGAAACAGTGGCTAAGGACACATGTTACAGAGCTAGACCCTAGGTCTCTGAATATTGGCTGTTTGACGTGGACCAGGCACCCAGCATCTCCATGGCTCCATAACCTCCTCTAAGATGGTCATATGCTTTAGTTTGCTGGGTGGATTAGGTGAGCTAGAGGATGTAAGTGAGGCAGGCAGAATAATATCCCGCCAAGGTGTCCACATCTGAATCTCTGGAACCCGTGAATAAGTTAGACTATGTGGTGTGGGGACAGAGGTTGCAAATGGGATTGAGGTTGCCACTCAAGATGACCTGGAGATGGGAAGATGATCCTGGGTTATCCAGGTGGACCTGTGTAATCATGAGTCTCCTGTAGGTGAAAGAGGGAGGCAGAGGAGTTAGAGTAAGAAGGACATGACCTGCCAATGCTGGCTGTAGAGAAGGAAGAAGGGGTCACCAGCCAAGGAATGCCTGCAGCCTCCAAAGCTGTAAAAGGCCAGAAATCAGCTTCTTCCTGTAGCCCCCAGAAGGAACATAGCCCTGTCCACACATTATTTTAGCCCAACAAGACCCATTTGGACTCCTGGCCGAAATGATAAGACAATAAATTTGTGTTTTTAAGTTACTGTGTATGTGACCATTTGTTACAGCAGCAGCAACAGGAAACACCCATTGTGTACATACTGAGAAGAGTGCCTGGCACACAGTAGAGACTACACAAGGCTTCATATCAAAAACAGTGGTAGAGACAGCACCTCGGGGAGGCCCAGGGCATATGAAACACAGCTGGTCCATCTGCATCTGAGTCCTGGCTTTGCCCTTTAAGGGATTGTGACCTTGCTGTGTGCAGAGGGCTAAATCTCTCTGACTCTATTTCCTCCCAAAGGCCCTACCACCAAATACCATCACATCGGAGATGAGGTTTCAATATATGAATTTGGTGAGGATACACTCAGTCCAAACATCAGCCTTTTGACCTTCATTCTGGATTTGAGGAACTGTGGGCCAAGGAGGGAAAAACAAACAAACAAACAAACAAAAAACCTAATGTAAAAGAAAAGAACAGAATAATAGTGGAAAAAATAGAACTGAGATAAGTATTATTTCATCATTTTTTCGGGCACCTACTGTGGAATAGCCACAGTTCAGGCTAAGAACCTAGTTCCATTATACAGGTGAAGGGAACAAGATCTGAAGTGTTGCTAACTCACAGAGGACTGTGCCACTTCTCTTTAGTTCTGGGTCAGGGCTGGAGGGGGGTCCATCAGGGTCCAAATTCTGCACTACTCCTGCCTATGCCTGACATCTGGTAAAAGGCAGGGTATGTCTTTGTCTTGTCTGAGGGGGCATGGAAATCAACCAGAGAAACTGATCTTTAGGATCTATCTTTACAGCCTTTGCCATTCTAGACCTTTCTTGTCAGCTTTTCAAGGTTTCATGGCTGCTAATCCCACAGGCTTTGAGTCAACCTGATTTTCCATTTCAAGCATCCTCTCAGCATAAAAAAAAAAAAAAAAAAAAAAAAAAAAAAAAAAAAAAAAAAAAAGGCACCAGCATGAAAGCAGGTAAACACAGGATGATGCATGAAAGAGAGGAGAGTCCCTCCCTGGAAGGAAAATGTTGCTGCATAAAGTCAGAATGATTTTCAAATCAGCTCATACTGAGTTTTTCTTACATCAAACACTTGGGGAGAATAAACTTCTTTCTCATCGTCCTGTTCATCTTCCCCGGGGCATCTCCGGGCTTCTGTTTAACAAATGACAACTGGGGAATACATTTGCAGCAGTTTTTGGGAAGTGCTTTATAATCGACCTGTGGCTGGGGGGTGATTTGGGGAGAGGTGAACAGGAGAGAGAACCTGGGGAGGGGGAGCGTGGGAGGGGAGAGAGGAGGTGGTGTAGAGAGAAGACTGGAGTGAGGGAAATCACAGGGACTGAATCTCTTTCTGTCTCTCTCCCTCCCTCTCTCTCCCATTAGGTTTGGTTTGGGAGGGTTACCGATTCAAGCACTTTTCTCTAGGGGACAGCGAAAAGAAAACCGACAGCCACTGCCTTTCTCGGGGATGCCAGCAGAAAGCGAGTGGCAGCTGGTGGTTTTGCTTTTGACATCCATTGCTGTCAACAGTGCTTTTAGCAGATCCTCATGGTCACCAGGGTCATTTGACTCCTTATTTTCTATTAGAAAGGGCTCATTTGGAAGCTGTCCAGAGACTGCTCTACCATATGTTACCCATTCAACAAACTGTCCCAATTCCAGGAGCCAGGCTGAGCACGGGCATGGAGTCCAGGCTTTTGTATTCATTAACGTGGCTGGCCGTAAAGAGAATGTGTACTCATTCCCCCTCCTCACCCCTCCCCTTTCTAACTTGTCATTGTGAAAGCTTAGAGGTGGCCAAGTGGAGGGCTGAGTGGGGAATTATGGGACAATAATAATAATAATACATCAAAACTCAATAGAACATTCTGGCCAGCAAAGCACTGCCAAGCAATTTATCACATGCGATCTTTTCAGCAGCCATGATGATCCTCCTTGTCACAAAGTTGAGGACACTGGGGATGGCCCCCTAGTCAGTGCAAGATTGGGATGGCACACCCCCAGTATGCCCTGGTGTCAAGTCCAGTGCTCTTGCTACTGGATCAGGAACATCTGATTATTCAAATCTCAGGTAGTTTGATTATCCCAATTACTCCAATTTCTTCTTTGGGAGGAAATATGGAATTTGAAAATCTCAACAGTCTTTCAGTAATTTCAGGAGTCTAGTCATCTGGTACCCCAGGAAACAGGTGAATGTGCCGCAGCATCCGTTTTTGGACATGCTCCTGAAGGCTGCTATCTCCACCAGCAATGGTGGCATGGCCCTTGGCCAAGGCTGCCGACTTTCTATTTTCAATAGCAGGGCTCACACAGCATTACAACTCTTCTGGTATCCATTATAGCAAAAGGCTTAGTGTCTCAATGTTTTAGAATTTACTGATCTGAATATTAAGATCCCGGGCATTGTGGCTTCAGTGAATTAACTTCAGTAGCTTAAAAAAAATGACATGTCCATTAGGTTAACAGGTGGCTGTGAATACTCAAGACATATTGACGGGGCACTCCTTTAGGGACTCAGTATTCATGTCAATGATATTAAAATGGCCGCTAAGGGTGTTTACAAGGAGGGATAATTACATTTTTATTATATCATATTCTGTCTTGGGAATTGTTACCATCTACAGTAAACAAAAGGATGCAAACATAACTGAGTGGCAGTAATGAGATGACAAGCCGTGTTCATAATTGGAGTTAACTAGTACTCAAAGGGTTGGAGCCCCAGAAGATATTGTCCACCCAAAATGTAGAGAGCAGGGCTCAGGCAGCAGTAATTTTCTAAGTGTTGCAGTCACTCTCATGTGTAGTTACATTGAGAAACACTATGTTAAGCCACCCACCCCATGCCAGTTAGTAATTAAATGGAAAATCACCATTATTTGTCCTTTATCTTTCTTCACAACTGAATTACACTGAACCATATTCCACTTAGAGCCTGTTTAAAGCTGTATCTACTAAGATGGGCTCTCAATCTAAGATGCACATCGAACCACTGGTGAATTTTTAAAGGTGCAAAGATTAGAGAACAGAGTTAGACGTTGAGATTCAGAGGTTTGTGATGGGCTCTAGACTCATGTGTTTATTAAACATTCCAAAGGCAATTCTGATGAGTCAATATGGAAAACCCTGGGATTAGTGGTTTACAACCAAGGCCAATTTTGCCTCTCATGGGACCCAATTTGGCAATACCTGAAGACATGTGGAACACAAGTGGAGAGCGGCGAGGATGCTACAGGCATCTACAAGTAAAGGCCAGGGATGCTGTTTAACGTCTTACAGTGCACAGGACCATCTCCCCCACCACAAGGAAGTAATCAGCCCAAAATGTCAATAGTGTGCCTCTTGAGAAACTCTAATTAAGGATCACATTTTACACCTATCACTTAAAACGTGCCAGTAAAGTCTGTATTTATATCGGGATCCTTTGAGATTATAAATTTATATTTGCAGTGAATAAAAAGACAAATTAAGACAAACAAAAATAGCTCAGACATGGAATAGCCCACCCAGTTCTATTTTGATTTGTGAACTAAGACTCCACAAACACTGATGATTAATTAACGGGATGACAGCCTCATTTATGTAGCATTTTGACAGCATTTATTCACACTCCATCAGCATTTTTAAATGCCCTTTGGTACAATTAACGATTGTTAAAAAGCTAACTTGTAGGAATATAGGATTATTCATATCTCAGGTAGTTTTAACATTTCTTTTTCTTTTGAAAGTTGATTTCTTAATATAAAACTAGACGTTTGAGAGTAATGTGGCATGCAAAAGTCTATACATTCGTGTGTGTGTGTGTTTCTAACACCTGTGGTTTGAGTAACTTAAAACAATCAACTTATACTTATGGCTAATCAAGAGTCAAGTAATGCTCTAGGCTGGGCTGAGAGGCCATGTCTTGGAAATGTTGGATTCATACAAGAAGACCAAGATGTATTTCAGAGTGAAAGCATTAACATAATTCTTTACTGTTGTCAGTCATTGCTCAGTCCTTTGGGTTTCTTTATTGTCTAAGGTGCTTAATCTATGCGAGTACAACAAACCTTGCTATCGATCTCACTGCTCCCCAGTGCAGACTGGATGATGTAGAGCAGGGCATCTGTGAGGCCCTCACATTCCCGCATCCTCCTGCGGGCCTCCTCGCCGGCTGAACTAACATTCCTGCAAAGCAAAAGGACCTGTTAGCAACCTTCACAACCATCACCAAATGTTCTCCCACACATACCTTCTCTCCTTGTTTCAAAGAAAAACACTTTGCTTGCCTTTTCAGATGTTTATTAAAAATGAATTTTATTGAGTAGGGATGGCTTCAACCACCTCTACTAACTCATCAAATCCATCCTAAAACTGGGGAAGTCACAGATAGCTGTAATGCAACTAGAGAAATGGAGAACATAGAATTCAAACATGTGAGTGTCCAATGACCGCTCAGAATGGGAGACTTTTTGAAAGTCTTCAAAGTTTTCTTCCTTTACCATTGATGAAGGAATCAGAGCTCTTTGATTCAAAAGACTCTTCTTCTTTAAGAAGTGTGAAACATTTTTCAAAGACAGAGCTTCCAACTTACTAAAATACTTTAGAGATCTAATTTTACCCACCTCAAAAATATACCTACTTTGGTCCAGCCAGAGTAAATTAGAAATTTATTCTAAGAACATAGGGAGGAGTTTTTGTGAAAATTTAGCCACAGGAGTGCCCATGGCCCCTTCAAAGGCAGGAATTAATCAAGCTCCTTTCTGGACTGGCATGAGCTGTGCTAGAGCCAACAAAAGGAGCCTGTTGTTATTCTCTGCACAGCTGGGAAGCAGAGAGATATAAAAACCATGAGACAATCCTAGTCACCAGACTTGTAAAAAGCAGGAGATAACCCTGGTCAAAGATGCACATTTGGGATGCTTTTTCATACTCCACCACCTGAAAGTATGTTCTTGGTCTCCTAACCATGGATAGGATTGGGTTCCAGTTAAGAATTTTTGCAGTGACTGACTTACCAACAACACAGCCTGTGGGAGGGAAACTGGAGGAGGTGAGTTTATAGAAAGAGGCACAAAGGGACTGAAACATTTTTAGAAGCTGTGGGGAAGACAGCGAGCAATGGCTCTCAAGAGTTGGCTGTATCAGAAGCTCCTGGAGGGTGTTCATGTAGACTGCTGGACCCCATCCTGAGGTCTCTGGTGGAGTCGATCTGAAGATACTTTCTCCATTTTTTGAAACAAAACAAAACAAAACAAAACAAAACAAAAACTGAGAAAGTATATTCAGTTGCATATTTGGGGGTATTGGTATTGATAATTTCTACTGCTCTAGCGTTAGTCTAGGGAGAGAGTTTGTTGGAGAGGATATTGCTTTCTGTTGACAGCCCTAGGCAGCCACCTGGCAGATCCCAAGAATCTGTGGCCTGGGACAAAGCCCACAAAAGTTGAATAGGGTACATCTCCACACCCACATTGCAATCGACACATACATTCTCATTTCATTTTCACCGTGACACTTCATTCTATTTTACAGATGAGAAAACTGAGGCTCAGAGAAGTTATCAAAAGCCAAATGGGCAGCAAGTGGAGAAGCTGAAAGGTACCTAGGGCTAGATGCACAATATAGACGGACTATGCTTTAGGATAAAATAAAAAAAGGCCTAATGCTAAAATGCTACTGAACGTAAGTGTTTTCTTTGCTATCTAAAACATTCTGTGGAACATGTATTAAATAGGATCTATCAGCATTTTAATGTAATTCTGGGAAAGGTTATTCAATTTAAATTAGTATTTTTGGCATTTGCTGATCTTAAAATATAAACACAATTCCTTAGGCAATACAACTGGGCAGATATTGACAGTTTTTATGTAAAGTGTTATAGATTCTGCTTTGGGGTGGCGAGCTGTCTTTTCTGATAAGATCCCTTGGAAAGGAAAGAACTAACCTCCTCCTAGGGAAAAAGTGGTGAGAGGCATGGTGGAATTATTCTAACCAGAAGGATGGGCTTTGTGAAGAGATCACTTTTAGACCATTCTCCATGAAGAGATTTTCATCAGGTCAAGCTTTGAGGTCTTTACAGCAATAGGTTTGTTCAAAAATTCCAATTGGACCTCTTTGGCCAGAAGAATGTTGTAGCAATGTGTGGTTGTGTTTTGAAATCTTGCCTCTTTGTTCCTTGAGGAGGTCATGTCTTCAAAGAGAGAATGATGGAATTTAGTCTTGAGAGAACCTTAGGACAGCTCACGTACACCCTGGTTTGAAATCCTCTGTACTCTTCCTGCATCCACGAACACCGCTTTCCTTTGGCTTTGGCAAGAAGTTCACCATGGGGGCAGTGAATGCCTCATGATTCCTAAATAAATTTTATAATAACCAGCCTATCTTTTACTGGTAATTAATGAAAGGGCAGGGCCAACCAATGAACCAATGGGAAAGATGAGGAATTAACAACTTTGTCAACATTACAAGTTGCCAATATTAATCTAAGTTTTTTTCTTTATTCTCGTTTCTGTTTGATTCCAGTCAAGTCTTCTCCAAAATTAAAAAAAAAAAAGTTACTAACTGGCTACTATATTAAAGCATTAAAGATATTGGAAAATGAGAAAGACTTATAAGTTAGGGTCCCTACAGGGTAAATGACTGGGATAGACGGATGGACACACACACACACACAGACACACACACACACACAGACACACACACCTCTGATACAGTGGGTAGGATGGAGTTACCACAGTGTCTGCAGGCAGGATGAGGATCAATATCAATTTTTAAACAGAGTGAAGTATGCATATGTCTCTTTTTCAATGGGTTGCAGTGTCCTACAAGCCTTTGGGAATGGGTTTCTACTTTCACCTATTCCTGAATGAGTGGAATATATGGTGAGTACCTTTGGTTTTTCATTCTGGAGTAGAGGAGGGCTTTCTTTTTCTCCCCTTTTCCCCAAACACAAGATCTAACACACTATGCATGCTTTACTGTTTGAAATTTTTATAAAGCCAATAAAATTGTGTGCTGGTCACTGTGCAGTTATTGTAATTTTGGTCCTACCTGTTTGACAATGAGCCAATGTCTAACTTAAAAAGTTCCATCCTCCCCTTGTACTTAAACCACCTTACAACTGTCTTGAGGAGTTACAACTGTCTTGTTCCATGTCTAGCTAGAAACTGGTATAGCAAAATTCTGTGCATTAATATAACATTAAAACAAATACTGGTAGGTTATTGATAAAGATTGCAATGAACCTATAATTTCTATTCATTAGAAATAATCTTTATAATTTGTATTAAATGTCAGTAGATACATCATTTGGAAATTTCTGCTTAAAGTAGATAGTAGATTCTATATACTTTTTTCTTTTAAAGGAAAGAGGTGTTGCTTTTTTAAAAAGTTCATTTTTATTAAATTTAGAGAGGAATCAAGAGGGAGAGAGAGATGGAAACATCAATGATGAGAGAGAGTCATTAATTGGCTGCTTCCTGCATGCCCCATACCGGGGATCAAGCCTGCAGCCCGGGCATGTGGACCTAACCAGGAATCGAACCCTGACCTTCATAGGTCAATGCTCTACCAGTGAGCCATGACACCTGGGGAATTCTATATATTTTTTATCTAACCGATAAAAAATAAAACATAATTTTTATATTTTATCATCAGCAAGGAAACAGAAACCTCAGTCCTACCTGAAGGAACTTTGAACTAGATTCTCCCACTAACCATTAGTAAGGAACACGCCCTGCTAAAACCTCCATTTTAAGCTGGTGAGACTGGTGTCTGATTTGGAACTGACAGAAATTATAGCACAGTATATTTGTCATGTTCTAAGTCACTAAGTCTGTGGTAATTTGTCCCAGTAGCAATAGGAAACAACCACAAAGCTTGTTTTACTCAAGGGTAAGTGGATATTTTTGAACACCATCCCTAAATGTTTCATAAGTCACTGCTTTCCTGGAAACTGTTCAGCTACAGTGGACTCATGCAAGACTTTAGAAGATATTTCTAGATGATCAAATAATTGTATTAGCTTGCTCAAGACTAAACTGGCACATATATAAGAAAATTGAAATCTTTCCTAGAGGCATGTGTGTAGACGAAGAGGGTGGTTTATGAAGCATCTTCCCTCAACTACGCAGAGAACACTAATGTGATGTGGTGCTGTATCTTTTCCCACTGCGAATCTGATGAAGCCATGTGAGTGCCTCCACACGTGTGGCCATCACCTTGGTCTGACTGCTCTCCTGTCTGGCTGACATCTTGTACTCCTGCCAGTCCTCTTTCACGCAGAAGAGACCCCCCCAAAGCTCAGTGTGAACAGAGTGTGCAGGGTTGGTATTATATGCCTTAATGTGGGAAAGGAGGACGCTGGATACAGGGAGAGGACTGAGGCAATTTCCTAGCTCTGCTGGAGTGAAGTCTGTATTATGTTCTCATTGCTTGAAGTGACTTTCTGGAACATCATCTGAAACATCCCCCCATAAGGATCCAGTCCTGTGACCAGTAGCAAGATGAGCCACACCTCTGGAAACATTTATTGGGTACAAATAACAAAAGGTTGAATTTACTTGAAAAGCTCTAGACTTCTTTCTTGACATTTGTGTTTTTTTAATTTTTAAAATTTTCAAAAAGAATAGTTTATGTACCTTTACAGAGAGAGGAAAGCAGAAACATCAATGTTAGAGTGTAACATCAATTGGCTGCCTCCTGCACACCCCCTACTGGGGATTGAGCCCAAAACCTGGGCATGTGCCCTGATCTAGAATCTAACAGACAGCCTTGAGGTGCATGGGATAGCACCCCACCAACTGAGCCACACCAACCAGAGCTCAACAATTTTTTTTTTTTTTAATATAAAACTGGTCCTTCCTTACAGCCAATTTAGAAAAATTTCCAGAGGGAAAAATTTCCCCTTCTTTTCTTTTCAAGATTACACAGTCTTCTGTTTGACTTCTTGCTGTGCACCTTACTGTCTTTTCCCAAGGAAGGTAATTTCTTTATAAATCAGGACAGTGATGGCTTGGTAATTACTTTGCTGAGCTGCAGGGACAGAATGCTTCAGTGGCCTACAGACCAGCTACCTCGTGCAGCTGGCAGAACACTGCTGCGTGCTGTCCTCCAATCTGTAGATGGTAGCTCCTACGTCATCGCCACCCTGCCCACACTGGGAAATGTAAAGACGGACGAGCTCC